TCTGGCTCAGTCGCCCTGCTGCTGCTCCTGCGCTAAAGATAGCGCCAACGCTAATGTGCTCTGTACCATACCGTACCGGTAGAGTGCCGGTAGGTCGATCCCTTCGACTGAGGCTGGTCCGGTTCTTTATACCGGTGGGGCAGAGGCCGGCCTCAATGCTGCGAGGCCTGGCCGTGCCCTGAATCGTCCAGATGGACGGTTCAGCCCCAACCGGCGGGCGGCAGCCTCAAGAGCGCCGCCAGGCCCAAATGGTAATGTCGTTTGGGCCTGCCCGTCGGGTCTGGTCCAAGGTGAGGCCTTTACGGCCTGTAGTTCCCCCCAAGGTCGGGCCTTTGGCCCTACTGTGTCCTTCTACCCCTATGTCGGGTCCGGTAGGACCCGTGTGGCGTCGAAGATGTAACACACTCCCCCTCTTAAAAGACCGAGCTACTTGCGAGGGCGGAGTTGTCTGTCCGATACCGGGATAGGTCGGGTGGGACGAGCTGCTGCCTTGGCAAGTCGTGTCTTCTCATAGTTGGCGAAGATAAGGGGTGCAGAAGTCTGCAAGTCTGCACTAGAGATCCACTGAGTGTCGTCAGGCGCACATTGCTTGAATGTGACTTTGTACTGYATTGGCTTGTTGCCATACTTGCGGTGCGTGATGACACGGTCCACTTCCTGATGTCCGTCCATGGAAGGCGGATCTTGTGATCGACGTCCGGGAAAGTCGTCCACTGAAGGTGGCGTGTAGATGGCCAGCTTCGATGCGTGGCAGACCCGATGCACTGTAAGGTGCGGTCGAATGTTGATCACGAAGGAAGGACCTGCGGGGTCGTCTCCAATGGGAGAAGTGACTTTCCAAGGTCCGAACCACTTCGGAAGGAGTTTGCACGAAACGTCCTGCTCGAGCGCAAATTCCTCGGAGAGGACCCAAACAAGGTCTCCCTCGCGGAAAGGACATGGAAGTCGACATCGGTTAGCCTGCTGCTGCATGCGGATCTGAGTCTTTTGCATATTTGCGTGGGCTTTGATCAGCAAGTCCCGGTACTTCCGAACGGAAGCGGGAGAGCAAGGGGCGTCTATGTCGGCAGCCTGTGGCAGAAGGAGATCAGCGAAGATCAGTGCTTTCTCTCCACCATGATGTAGCTCGAATGGTGTGATGCAGATCGCCGGCTGCACCGAAGTGTTATAGGTGAACTCGATATCGGGAAACCGGTCAACTCAATCTTTCTGATCGGGACGGATGAGCGTACGCAACATCATCTGAGCGGTCTGGTGCGCTCGCTCCGTCTTGCCATCCGTCTGCGGGTGCCGAGCTAAGCTCGGCTTCATTGTCGTACCGGACTCAGCCATGAGGGAAGTTCAAAAGGTTGACATGAAGCGAGTATCTCGGTCGTTCAATATGTCTTCCGGAACACCCTGGTTGGTAATCCAACCGGTGTGCAAGAGTCTTGCGAGCTCGGGTGCTGCAGCATGATACTTGCAAGGAAGGAAGCCAGCATACTTGCTCAAACGATCAACGACCGTGAGAATACCGTCATGGCCGTGGCGATCGCGGGGAAACGGGCCTGTCATGTCCATAGCAATGAAGAGGCGTGGTGCCCGAGGGATCGACAAAGGTTTCAGTTTGCCGAAGGGGAAACGAGATTGACCCTTGTTACGGTGGCAAACTGCACATGACTCAATGTACCTCGTGACGTCATGAAGGACGTCGGGCCAGTGGGGTTCACGCCAAGGTGTGCCGAAAGTCGTGCGTCGTGGAATTCGCCGAGAAGACGAGTTCGTAAAATGCGATCTTGGGGCACAACTAACAAGTCCTTTCCTCTCGTGTGAAGGAGAAGGAACCCGTCTGCAATCCGATAGTGGCTAGCCGGCGGGTGATCCGATGAAAGCTCCGCGTARAGCGTAGARTAAGTCKGATCRGAYTTGTAGCCTTTGACGAAATGCGGTTGCAGATCGTCATCGAGGTCGAATGCCGTGGTCACAATGGCACAAAAGTCGGGCCGTCGTGAGAGGGCGTCCGCAACTCGATTGGCGGGACCGGGAATGTGGCACGGGTCAAAGTCGAACTGGTCGATGTAATACATCCCCGTACTAGTGACCGTATCCTGCGTTTTGTAAAAGGTCAACAAATTGTTGTCCGTATTCCATTTAAAACGTCGACGATCGAGAAGAAAGTGTCGCCACCGTTTGAGAACGGTGACGAATGCGAGTAGCTCTTTCTTCCTAGCGTCGTCGAGAGTGTTTACGAGAGGCACCTTTTGGGAGAAATACTCGACCGGATGCCAACCGTCCTCGTGACACTGTTCCAACACCGCACCAATCCCGTATCCCGAAGCGTCCGTAGTCACTTGGGTGGGTAGGGTGGGGTCGTATATACGGAGGGCAGGTGCGGCTTGCATCACTGCCTTCAACCTAGTGAACGCTCCACGGGCTGCATCGTCGAACTCGAAGGGCACCTTCGGGGACTGAAGTCTCGACAAAGGAGCTGCCACTTTCGAGTATGAATCAACGAATCGCTGATAATATCCAGCCAATCCCATGAAAGAGCGTACGTCCGTCGTGCAACGGGGTTCCGGCCAATCCACGATGGCTTGGATCTTGTCCGCTAAGGGACGAATGCCTTTCAGCGTAACATAGTGGCCCAAATACTCAAGCTCTTGCTTGGCGAACTCGCACTTGTCGCGGTTCGCTTTGTACTTGGCCAATCACAAACGATTCAAAACAACGAGAAGGTGTGCGATGTGCTCATCCAACGTCCTGCTATAGACCAAGATGTCATCGAGGTAGATGAGGACGCTGCGATCGAGCAAGTCGTGAAACTCAGTCGTCATAGCTGCTTGAAAAGTTGCGGGGGCATTGGTGAGGCCAAAGGGCATGACAACCCACTCAAAATACCCGTACCGCGTCTTGAATGCGGTCTTATACTGATCTTGAGGCTGGATTTCAATCTGGTGGTAACCTGACTTCAAGTCCAACTTCGAGAAGTACATCGCGCCGCCTAACCGCTCAAGGAGATCATCAATCCGAGGGAGAGCGCCGACGTTCTTTACGGTTTGTGCGTTAAGTTCGCGATAGTCGATGCATAACCGTAGATCTTTGTTCTTCTTCCGGACGAAGAGAACAGGTGCTCCGTATGGCGAGCAACTAGGGCGAATCCAGCCCTTGTCAAAAAGGTCATCGAGTTGTGCGCGAAGCACTTCGAGTTCCTCTTCGCTCATGCGGTAGATACATCCACGCGGAGGGACGGCGCCCGCCTCGAGAGTGATCCTGTGACGTATGGGCCGATCTGGAACCGTTTCGGTGGGCGCCTCGAAGACGTCTCCATACTCGTTCAAGAGGTGAGTGATGCGTGGGTCCGGCGGTGACGCGGCTGGTCCGTCCGGCGAGGGGAGAGCATGCAAGAATATAAGGYTCATCTCCTCGACGTCATTCTGAGCAATGGAGTCGCGAATTCTCGCAACGGAAACCACGTGACAAGCAATCGAAGTGTGAGGGGTCGCGACTGTATATGGGACTAACACTCCGTTCCGATCACGGATGTGAACGGTTCGGTCATGGAAGTTCACCGGATGATCGACACTACGCAACCAAGACATGCCTAGAATCATATCGAACTTGGTGTCGAGGATGTCAAAAGACGCCGGCTCGCACGCAAGTGGCGCAAAGTAGACCGGAACGCCGTCAACGCATCGGTCAATTGACTTTTGCGTGCGGCCGTCCGCGAGTGTAACTTGCGTAGGTTGCGTCTTCCCTCGAACGTGCGGGCCAAGACCTGCGCGGGCCATAAAGGCTTGGCTCATAAAGTTACGAGACGCTCCGCAATCAATCAAGGCACTACAGGCTGCCTTTCCGATTTGAATGCGGATATAGAGCAAAGGTGCATCGGTTTCGGCGTACCTTTGGGTGGCGTACTCGCGGTCAATCTTCGCAAGATAGGAGCGGAGATCGACAACAGCTACTCCGTCGTCCGTCAACGGAGCTGGTACTGTAGCGTGCAAATAGGAGCGTAGAGTTGCCATCAAGGCGTTGCAATGCGGCCTTGGCAAGGTTTCGGTCGAGGGTAGAGGCATCCAAGCGAAGTCCTCTCTCGTAAGCGGGTCAAGCTCCTCAAGTCTTGACCACGCCGTCGAGTCCTTGGAAATCAGTGGCGAACTAACCGGATCACTTGCCGACGGTGTACAGGCTGCGCATACGCACTCTAAGTGCACGTGGCTTGGCTGGTCTAGTGGTGGTAAATGCTGGGCGGCATAATCCTCGTACGTGGCACGAGAATCAGCGACTAACGCATGCTTCCCGGTAGTGACATCGATTGCTAGCAAGGCAACCGGTTCCGGCGGAGTGAGGAGAGACGTCGCCCCTCTCCTTGCGTAACTTAGTTTCCCGAGTTTGCTGGACGGGATACGCATGTCTTGCCCTTTTCGGGGCATTGTGCGGTCAAGTGCATGACGCCGTTGCACCAAAGGCAGTATGCGTACTTTTGACGGAGGTCATAGACATCCTTGGTTATCTTGTAAGCTGTCCATGGTTGCGGCCCAGTTCCCGTCGATGCCGTGTCTTGTGTCTTCTTGTTCTTCCGAACTCTCTTGGGACGCTTTGGCGGGAGCGCTGCTACAATTCCTCCATCACTCGAGGATGCTGCTACAGCGTGGAGATCGTTTGTTTCTTCCGAAATCACGACATTGTTATGTGTCGGACGTTGATAGCCATGCTTAGCCACATAATGCGGCTGGGACTGCCGTTCGTTTGCAGCCTTGTCATCCGTTTGGATGACCAAGTTTGCGCGATCTTGAATGGCCTATAATGAATCGTAATCGTACTCGTTGCCGAGTGCCGATCGTAGTCCTGCGCACGATCGCGAGAAGAACTCGGATCGTTGATTGGTAAAACTCAAATCGAATCCTGGCGTGGTCACTATCTTCTGCCACTTGGTTGTCCAGTCTCGAGTTGGCATATTCCCTTGAGAGCAGGTATACACTTCGTTCATGGCCGCCTTCACGACGTTGCGGACCATGAAACGGGTGAACCATAGCTTCTCGAAATCCTTYCACGTAATGTGCGTGTGAAGTTCGGCGATGGTGCATGTGTGGGTAGCCGCCAGATGGTTCATCCATGCCTGCGCTCCTCCAATCAGCTGTAAGTATAACGCCTTCATCAGATAGTCATCTGGGACAGTGCGACATGATGCTTCCGTGAGGAAACGTTGCCACTATGCCAAAGCGTCCGTCTTGTTGTGGTCGTCGAACTTGTTGATGTCGAAGTGCGGCATCTTGTAGTTCTTCGTAGTGGCGTCCGGTCTCGTCTGCAGCTTGGTGATGTCCGTCTTGATGGCGGTCACCGTGCTACTGATCGTGTCCGGCCCATTGAAAACACCTATGTCGCCGATGAGATTGACGACGTGATCGATGCGCCCATTGAGCTGCTTCGTCTCGTCTGTCGTGCAGCCTGGCGCTGCTGAGGTCTTAGCCTCGATGCTGCTGACGCGTGCGGTGGTGGTGTTCAACAGTTGTTGCTGTTGTTGCTGTTGTTGCTGATATGTGGCGGTAGTGCGAACAACAACTGATAAGGCTGCAGAATCCTTCTGCTGAATCTGTCGCAGTTGTCTGCCCTCGTGTATTTGCACCGCTAACATCGTATTGTTCCACATGATCGCTCGCATCATCGTCAACATCACGTTAGCCAGGTGAGTCCTCTCTGCCTCCGCCGGTGTTGGATCTGCCTGCTCTTCCAAAGACACAAAGATCATGCCCTCGAGGCTCGTTGTCCACTGATTCTCATTACGAATCAGGGATTCCGAGCTGGCGGCATTCCGTTGGTCTCGTGCCGCTGCGTCGGCCTCAGCCGTCTGCTGAGCTTGGGCTGCTGCCTCATTGGCCAGCCGCTGACGTTCTGCCTCTGCTGCCTCTTGCCAAGCCTTGGCGGCAGCTACGACATCTGTAAATACCTGTAGTCGCCCAAGATAGTCAGCCACCGGCTCACTGGCCCCTCGAACCAGGCACGCGGGAAGAACTCCGGTGGTGTCCGGTACCGCCAATGCTGTACTTGATGTTGCTGGAGTCTTCCGCTTGCTAAGTCTCTTGGGTCTTGGAGGTACCGCAGGGCGGGCACGAACTGCGAGCCTGGCACTGCGCCGTGGCAGTGCCCCGGTGTCCTGTTCCATTGACATCAGTGTGAACTGGTGCGGTACTTGAGAGGTCCCGATGGTCACATAATACGGGGAGGGTAGAGAGAAAGGAAACAGGGGTAGAACAATCATACAATGCACATACAGTCCCCTATCCCACTGATGGACTGTAGACACCTAATCAAAACAGAAATATAGATTCATGTAAACAATTCAACAATTCGTAATAAGAATTAGAGTTAACGAATTATTTAATCAATAAAACTTATTTAATGATAAATAACGAAATAATAATTCTTAATGATCATCAATAAGCAATGTTTAGAATAAAGATAATCCGCAATAAACAATTTTGCAATAATGATGATAAACGAATTTGAATTTTATCAAGATGAGGTATCCGTTGAGATCATCTATGGTCCGGGAATTCACCGTTAATGAGTGAAACCCGGAAGTTGCAACTTTGAGGGTTAGCTTCGGATTAGTTTGCCCAAAAAAAAGTTTCGGAAAAAGTTAGGAAAAAACACTCGAATTTTTACAAACGTGAATTTTCGGGAAATTCCTCCATCAAAATCCGATTTTTAAAGGCCTAAACCTGTTTTCGGAATTTCTCAAACAAGGGGATTGAAAGAAAAAAATTCGCGAAAATTTCGGTCCCAACCCTAATTTTTCGCATTTCAACGGAATTTCCGGATTTACAGTCCCCAAAACGTTCGAATTCCCCAAGTTGATCTAAAACCAAAGATTGCGTAACCCTAATTTTCACTACTCCGATAAAACGGAAATGCCGATTTGTAAAACGAAATACCGGATTAAAAATCAGAATGCCGAAATAAAAATGGAATACCGAAAGAAAATCAGAATGCCGAAATCAACAGAAAACTGATTTAACCCTAATTACGAATTACTAACCAGAAATCCGAATCAAACAGAATGTTGGATTAGAATCAATTTATCGGAACCTAATGAAACAGCATACCGGCGAAAACAGAAATCAGAATAATAAGTTCGAATACTGAATTGAAACAGAAGTGCCGAAATAAACAGAATACCGAAAAAAAAATAAAAAAAATTGCAACTTTGAACTTGATAGTACTTCAGCGCTGATTTGGAAGATTGAAGAACAATCTAATTCCTAAATCAGTCTTACCTGGTGAGCAGATCCGTAATTGGTCTGCTCCGATACCAAAACTTTTACATACTTCAATGAGTATGGGCATAACCAAAGATCAACCAATGTAGGATGAGCATGTAGGCGGCGGAAGTTTTATAAACGGACTGACTCACATAGACTGACTCACATAGACTGACTCAAGAATCACTCCACACACATACAATCGTGAGATGGTGGGGTCTGGGCCAAGCATGGACGATGCCCAGATCCCATACACTCATACACAGATGAAAGGTGGGAGGAGAGACGAAGGAGGTGGGGGAGGTAGACAACACCGGTAGGTCATCGAAATAGAATCCGATAGGTCACCGATATGGTAGTCCAAAATATCATCCAACAAGATCAAAATGTCGAGGACAATCAGTCACCAATGTCGGAAATACAGAATCCAAATGTAACCGGTGTCCGAACTGTGATGCCGCCAAGTATCAACCCCAACAATCTCCAAGTCTCCAGTCCGGTAAGTACCACAGTCTCATACCACCGAAGTCCAACACTGATCTCTGTCCAACTAGTATAAGTCTCCAATTTGAAGAAGTAGAAGAAGAAGAAGAAGAAGAAGAAGAAGAAGAAGAAGAAGAAGAAGGAGGCGAGGAGGAGAGAGAGAGAGAGAGGGGACTGACGATGGGAGGGAGGAGAGAACCTTCCGGCTCCCTAATACCTCAGGCGGCGATGGCCGCCGGTCTGCCTCAGTCGCCCTGCTGCTGCTCCGCTCGCCGCTGCTGCGCTGCTCCTCGCTGCTCCTCGCTGCTCCTGCGCTAAAGATAGCGCCAGCGCTAATGTGCGCTGTACCATACCGTACCGGTAGAGTGCCGGTAGGTCGATCCCTTCGACTGAGGCTGTACCGGTTCTTTGTACCGGTGGGGCAGAGGCCGGCCTCAATGCTGCGAGGCCAGGCCATGCCCTCAACCGTCCACATGGACGGTTCAGCCCCAACCGGCGGGCGGCAGCCTCAAGAGCGCCGCCAGGCCCAAACGGTAATGTTGTTTGGGCCTGCCCGTCGGGTCTGGTCCAAGGTGAGGCCTTTACGGCCTGTAGTTCCCCCCAAGGTCGGGCCTTTGGCCCTACTATGTCCTTCTACCCCTATGTCGGGTCCGGTAGGACCCGTTGTCGGCGCGAATACCCTTACAAGGGTATCCGCCCTGTTTTTTGTAAGCGACGGAAAATAAGGTTTGTTCAGAACTTGAGTATACTGTGCGAAGTTGCGGTTGTGTTTGGTTCGCGTTGACAAAGTGGTTGACGGGGAGTAAAGAGTGTGTGGGCGCGCAATTTCGAGCCGCGCGTGATGATTTTTATTCTTGATGTTATAGAGTCGGCATTTCCACCGGCAAAATTTTTAGCTTTGATTAAGACAGGAAGAGTTTTTCTTTTATTGAAGCGACCATGGTGCATCTGCGTTCATACGACATGCGAAGTGGCGTTGCTTTGAGTAGTAATTGGGATGTGCGAGAGAAAGTAGAACGCAAGCGGTGACCTTCGCGTGGTAGATGCGGGAGGTTGGCAGTCGTGGACGGAGCCAGGCCCTATGGGTGGCAGTTGTTGAGGTCACATAGTATGCAACACACTAAGGTGACGGGGTATTACCGCGGGTTGGACTCATCAGAGAGATCCGAGGGATGAAGTGCGAACAGGATGTAGTAGGAACAAAAGTCGGGGGTTTCGGCAAGGCAGCGATAAAATGGCTGGTCGCGGCAGGCTATTAGAGCCTCGAACCGCGCCCGCGGCATGAAGGGGCAATGCGAGTGGTGAGCCGCACAACGGCTGCCTTGGAGGCAGCGGAACACGACCTCACAAAGTCGTGGGTTTGGGGAATAAGCCAAGTGGTGGCCTTGGCACACCATATGGGCCTGGGCATGCAGCAGATACCCTTCATATGGAGGACTGCGCCTGCTGTAACCAGGCTGGGGCTTAGTCCTATAGGTTACGTCATTGAGTTCTTAGCAGATGGATCTCGGGATCGAGGCCAGAGCGGAGCAGCGAAGCGGCGGAGGAGCACTATGGAGTGAGCCGAGGGGTTGAGGGTCCCGTGGGACTATCCCCCTTGGCTTTTTTTTCGGGGGGGTCCGACCTCGGGCCCGCGAGGTAAGGCCGAGGACCAGGTACCAACGGTCCTCTCCCGCATTCGGTTCTTACCCTTTTATTTTATTTTATTTTTGAGTTTGAATTTTTTATATATATGTATTTTTTTAATTTTTTTTTTTATATACTTTTTTTACTTTCCCATTGCTACTTTTTCTATCTGGGAATGAGGTCCTGTACTAGTGCCGGGACCTGCAAAAAAGCCCAGCAGCATCGTTCAGTAGATACACCCATGAACTGCTATGCTACCACTACCGTGGTACAGTCCTTCGGGACATCTGTTAAAATTAGAGCGATATACGGAAGACAGGCGTGGTCACTGTGCAGAGTTCCCCACTAGTGAATCTGGTATAGATTCATGGGAGGTGCGCTCAGTTTGGGTTGTTCCGAGGTTGTGGTTGACCAGCCAAACAAACAATAGAAGCTAGCACGGCCTACAGAATGAGCATGCCTGTTAGGGGAGGTAGTAGGGGAGTTACGGCCGGGCACAACAAACAGGAGGGATCCTGGTGGGGGCTGCAGCATTACTAGCCTTTACCACCAAGCCCAGTTCGGCTGGCACACTCGTGGGCTGTTGGGGTGTAGATCGGAGTTCGATCTGAAGAAAAAGCCCACAAACGTGTTGCCACGCCAAGTCCAAGTTTTTTTATTTATTATTATTATTATTTAGCAGCCCCGTTTGTCTTTTTTTATGAGCTGTACTATAGTTCCTTGGGCTGGATGGATCTAGTGCCCAGATTTGGCCAGATTCAGTCAAAAGTAAAAAGAAAAATAGTAGTGTCTTCGAGTACGGCATGGGTGAGTTGGGCAGGCATGCCATTCTGGGCTATATAAGACAGAGAGGTCCGGGGATCAGGAGCTTACTTTCAGTAGGATGCTCAAGACTGCTGACCGTGCGGGTGTACTCTGGCTGGAGGGGGAGGCTCGTGGAGTAGTGAGGAAGAAGAAGGGAAAGGGGAGGACACGACGACGAAGGAAGGCAGATATGGAGGGAAGAAAGGGAAACTAGTCCGACCTTGCTGTTCCTTGATGAGCCTTGTCAGACTAGACTGCTAACTTGAGCTTTTGAGGGTGGGTGAACTCGAGTTTATGGTCAGTTTCGACAGAGAATTAGTAGAAGTGAAGCTAGATGGAAAAATCAGTGTGCGACGATGTCGAAGGTAGGAGGGAGAGTAAGAGTTAAAAGTGTCTATCTCTCTTGTTCCTCCATAGAATCGGGTGAAAAAAGAAGCTAAATAGGGGTTTTGGGGCGCTACGAATGGATTGGTGGAGTTAGATTTAGCCGAGGAATGGTAGGTTTCGCGTTATGAAGAGGAGGGCATGCGCGGTATAAGAAGGGGGGGGGAAGAGCCAAGCGGGGAGTGAGTGCATCTTTCCACCTTCTAGCGGAAGATTCACTCACATTTTTTTATTTTTTTATTTTTTGTAGTAAGTGGGGTGGGCCCCACCCACTTGTGTTCGGCTTGATTGMGGCTCTCCCGTCCTCTCTATTGCTGCGATCTTCATAGTGAGGAGGGTTGGTAATACGGACTACGGTCATCTTCTCGGATCTTTTTTCCCACCCACGACGTTCGATGGTCGAAGTTTGAGCGAACTTGATGTAGCGGGCAGCTAGGTGCGTTGGTAAGCCAAGGGACAGCAGCAGCCACAAGAGTAGAAGCAGTCACCAGGCAAAGGGGGAGCGTAGGAATGTAGACGAAAATTCTCGCCAGATACAGTCGGCGACTGAGGGGATGGTGGAGATAGCTGGTGGCGAGAGAGGGAAGAACATATAACTCACTCGTCTCTTTGGGAAATTGAGTGAGGGAAGGACCGGATCCGTTTTTTTTTTTGCAGGGCGAAGTCAGTGGTGTGCCCGGATTTCGGACTTAGTGAGTAGATTGTGTGCTACGTGGGAACGGAGCTGCGCGGAGGTGAGTGGGAGCGAGGGATGAATTGGCCTATGGGGA